GCTTCACCCAGTGATGCTCCTGCCCAGAGAGAGCTATAAGTCATCGATAAACTTCCACATAACCCTCTGCTGACGGCCACAGTACCTCTTTAACCAGGGGAGCCCTGGTGGCCCCATCAACCTGGCTCTCCTATATTCACAGGCCCCCCAACCCCCAGCAGCTTCCTGGAGAGGTGCTGCCACACTAGTTTCCTCATGCTCCTTTCCTACCCCAAACTACCCTAGCCAGCTTTCACGGGTCCCTCAAACATCTGCTAACACAACAGTTGCTGCCTGTTCTGAGGCCTCCTCGGGGAAGGTCGGGATGCATGTGTGGGCAGCTGCGATCAATCAAACCTCTGTCTCAGTATCCTGACCCTTTCCGACGAAGGTCCTGCTTCTGTTTGAAGCACTGTTGAAAAATGCAATTTGTTGCTCTTTCAAGCTGACCAGCCTGGAGTTAAAAATATGGCAAGAACTGTGGCATTCAATGGGTAATCTTATTAACTGTTGCTTTTTCTGTAATCTTTGCTCACACACATGATCCACATCTGAATGGCCAGGCAGAGCTCAAGCCTTGCCAGGAGACAACCAATGCTTGTGGTCAGACCAGGTCTCAAGGAAGCAGTAACTAACAGATCACCAAAAGCCCTGCTGATAAACTCTTCTGCTCAGCCCCGCCTTGCCCTCCAGGGCAACACCCTTTGTTGTACAAAGGGGAGGCTGTGGCTTCACATGAATTCTGAGCAGAAGGGTCTCAGAAGACCACATAAGGACAGCCATGTGAGGAGGGCAGCAGGACCAGACCTGTCTGGGACAGGAGCACAAGACCCCCTGGGCTGCCTCTGTGGAGCCAAGCAGCCTCACTGTAAACACGGGGAGGGCAGACATTTCTGGACCAGGGCCTAGCATCGTCTCCCCCTCTGGGGCGCTCCTCATTTAGTCCGCTCCCTCACTCAGGGTCCAGATAGCCAGGGCACCTGCAGCTTCATTTGGTATCACAGCCCACAATCTAGACAGTGGGGTCTTAAGAGCATCTAAGCAGAGACAATCTGAAAACAATGTCTCCACCCCCACCACTGCACCTCATCCTCACTGCTGAAAGACAAGGGTTCCACTACTGTTAATGACAGCTGTACCCAAAAGATACAGCTGGGAAGGGGGTGGCCGGTGGCTCCTGTGATACTTCCACCTAGCTTCAAGGGTCGATAAACAGATGAGAACACAGCCAACTTCCTCCAGTAGGGGAAGATCTGATGCTATCGCCATTCTATAATCTTTGGCTCTTAACACAGAGTTCATGGCAGACTGGGCTGGGCAGGGCTGCGGGCAGGGATGTGGCCAGCAGGCCTTCTTCCATTTACCAAAGAAAGAAGATGAGACAAAGGGACGTTGAACAAGAAGTAGGAAGTGACAAGGACAGGAGGAAAGGTGAAAAAAGGGAGTTCTTATGATAGTCTTAGTGCACTTCCCAGAACCCATCCTCGGTCTCAATTCTGCCTCTCGAGTGGCCATAGTCCCACCTTCCCCCATTCAGGCCTGTGGTGTGATGGGGATAATATGCATCTGTGAGCCCTCATCCTGTGTCAGCCAATGCACTGTGTGTGTATGTGTGCACACAGAGCTGCACACACATGCACCAACACAGATACACATACCTACACAAACAGATCAAGACACACACCCACAGAGGTACAGATACACATGTGCACAATGCACTCACGTACATAAACACATCCCACAAATATAGAAGTTCCCTTGTTCCTCCCACAGTCCTCTGTTGGTGGTGGCTATGGTGTCTGCTGCACAGTGATGTCAAACAATTTGTCCAGGGCTCCTGCCTCCAGTCCCTCTTCTAGAGGCCTTCTGGTTCATCAATGTTCCTTCTACATGCAAATCCTAAAGTGAAGACCATGTCTGAAAGGGCCCTGGCAGGCCTAGGAAGCATAAGAGCCCCTGTTTCCCAAGAAAGGCTGGAATGGACAAGCCCTGAGGTCACACCTGCTTCTATCAGAGTCTACACCCAGGACACTGGCTCCTGCCAAACCCAGCTACGATGCATTTGAATGCAAGGCAGGCTCTCAGCACTCTCTGCCTCCACTGCCGTCTGATTGTTGGGTCTTTCCCTGGCCCCATTTCTACCAGCAGACTGGGATTGGGGGGGGGGGGGCTCTAGCTCTTGCTACCACTCTGGCCACTCCTTTTTTTTTTTTTTTTTTAATTTAGACCTTTATTTTATTTATTTATATGTGGTGCTAAGAATCAAAATCAGCTCCACCACTGAGCTACAACCCCGGCCCCTGGCCACTCTTAAGTGCTAGTAGGAAGCCCCCATCCTCATATGCCCTCAGGTTGCTCTGGGTCCCAAGGCCTGGGCTTCAGTCAGCTCCTCTGGGGAGCTGGGGTTTCTTTATCAGAATGCCCAGCTGCTCCAAAGGCCTAACTGAAAAGGTACTCTGCACCTTTTATCTGAAATGTTCATGAACCTGGTTCCAGAAGCCACATGCAAAGGGGCTCCTTCACAAGAATGCTCAAGTGAAACAAAGGTATAAACCAAGATCAAAGACTTGTGACAGAGTCTCTGGGCGAGCTTAAAGAAGCATGGCTGGCTCCACGCCTGGGTACAAGCCCCTCTCCCACAGGCACAAACCCTACCTACCATCTGGAACTTGCAAATATTGCGGGCAGCCCTGCACACAGAGGCTAGGGTCTTTGGGCAACTGGCTCAACCTTAGCCACTCTCCAGCAATGTGCAGGTCCCCAGGGAAAATCCCGCTCCTTAGGTACCCAGGCCCAGGGTCCAACATTGTCCTGGCTCAGTCCAAAGTTCTTTTCAAACACCTAAGAATTGCCCTAGGCCGGGTTTTCAGGGCCTCTTGGAAAAACAAGGCCTAACTCCTGGGGCTATAAATCCCCCAATGGGGGACTGAAAACAGGCAGAGCACAGAGCCCAGTGGAGGACGGGCTGGCAGGGTCACATGCCAGGCAGAGATGGTTCAGGCTCCACAGGCTCCATCCCCAGCACTCTGGTCACAGGCCGCTAGGCACACACCCCTCCAAGGAGCCCCTCTCAACCTCTCCTGTGCTCCGTCCTACCCAGGACTTGCTGCAGAGCAGGTGGCCAAGGACAGATGGGCTGAACCAGGGCAGGTTCCTCGGGCACCAGGGTGCACTCCTGGATCTTAGAGGCCCACCTGGAGCAGATGAAGCAACCTATATACCGGGGCACCGGCCCACCAAGCCATGCATTTTAAAATGGTTTCTACCCAAGTGAGGCTGGAAAGTGTCTCCAGTGATGTCAGCGGTGTTACTCCAATCTGTAGCTAGTAAAATGTAATAACACGTGTAAACTGTTCTTACTACCTCTCCAGCTCATTAGCTAATAATAATTTTAAAAAAAGCTTGGCTTTAAAAATTTAACTGAGGCTGTGTATTGAACCCAGAACTCAGGGTTCTGGGCATCCTTCAGAAGTCACTCAAAGCTGTCACCTATTCAGCCTTTTTACCTATTTAAATTTCTCTGGAGAAGGAAACTTCCTCATGGTATTCAATGCAAGTGCTCAATCCTGGTCCAGTGAGATGAGTCCAAATGTCTACTACATAGCAAGGAGAGAGGGCATGTCCAGAGTCAAGAGGAAAGACATGAAAGCTGGATCAGGGGGGCAGTAGTTTTGCCTTACACTCCTCCAGCCTCTTTCCCAAGTGGGCCCAAGGACACAGGAAAGACATGGGAATGTCATCAACTTGCCCTCCAGCTATCTCAGCCAGGGCCCAGAGTCTAGCCTGACTCTAGACTGGATGGACCTGCACCTCCTCTTTCATGGGGCACCTCTAAGCTGGGAGGGGGATTAATGGGGAGAGAAGGAAACTCCATGAACAGAAACTGCAGCATCTTTCCAAAGCAGAAGGAAGCCCATCTGGGATGATAGTTATAGGCATTGAAGGGGATCGGCTGTGCCCACCTGGGACAGAACAGGCACCACCAGTCTGCCACCCTGGATCTGGCCACAGTGCTGCAGAAGCAAGACCAATGCCACTGAGAACACCCTTACCAGCAAACAGGCCTTGTTCACCTTAAACCAAGCAGTGATCAGTGTTTCTCTACGTAAGACCAGAATCAGTGGCAACAGAGCAAGAGGGCACCTCCTGAGTGACCCCAAGCAGCAGGGCACGTTCTGTCCACCACATCCACCCATCCTAGAGCCAACAGTCAGACCAAGGACCAACCCATCTGTATCCCGGGCCTCACTGACCAGCTGGCATCCTTGGGCTTCCCAGGCAAGAACCAAATACAGCCAACTCTGAACTAAGGGACTGTCCTGACAATGGGGGATTAACTCCAAGTTCACCTCATTCAAATCAGTACCCAAGATCAGTGTTGGCACAAGGCAGGGCCCAAAATAAAGAGGGCAAAATCCAAGGGATAGAGGCACTTGGCCAGAGGCTTCTCCTATAGCAAACAATGAAAATCGTTACAGAGACGGCACAGAGGACAGTGGTCATCGTTTCTCGGCAGTCTAACATTTTGCAGTTTAATCAAAGAAACGAGCTACCTCCTACTCCCCACGAGCTACCTCCTACTCCCCACCTTGCTCCTAAAACCATTATCCACTGCCTGGATCAGCATAATCCTAGAGACACTGAATGTAGTGTGTCTCCGGTGGCTGCAGGGGTGGTTCCAAGAGGGCTGCCTGGAGGTCTGGGAGGGGATCTCACAGTCCTCACATTGGACTGCCTGCTGACGCCGCCTTTCGCCATCTGTCTGCTCTTGTACCCACTAGCACTGCGCACAGGAAAAGAGCGTGTCTCATTTTAAATGGAAAGAAATGGACACTTTTAAAAAATGAACTTGAATTCATCTTCTTTAAACAGGATTTTAAAGACAAGGGAATTAACCCACTCCTGGGCACTTCTGAAAGTGGCACTGTGCACTTGGCTGGAACAGACTAGAACCAACAGAGGCTCCATCCACCGAGCACCAAGTGCTTCTGCAGCCCCCTTCAGGCCCCTGTGGCACCTACCTGTGCCATCTTGGCAAGGTCTAGGGAAGGCCTCTGCTCCTGCACTTCTTCAGGGCGCCGCCGTTTTACACCAACCTTCTTGTCATTAAGGACACATGGCTGGGAGCGGCTGCGGGCGAGCCCACTGGAGCGTCTCGCCAGCTCTGGTGTTGAGGCAGGTGTGCTGTTGGCTGAGGGTGGACAGTATTCCGCGAAGGAAAACTGCTCATGTGAGCAGGAGAGGGACCGCTGCAGGTCTAGCCGGCCCCCTCCTGTGGGGTGCAGGTCGGGGGTCCAGGTGTCACCTGCCTGTCCACAGGAGGCCAAGCCTGGTGCCACTTGGCAGGGTTGTCCCCCAAAGCGGTGGTGCAATACCGCCTGGTGGCAGGGTGAGGAAAGCCCATTGGCCCGGGCAGGGAGGCTAAAGCTGGAGCTCCTCTGCATGGTGCTGATGCCGTTGGAGTAGCGCTGGACGCTGCCCCCGCTGTAGCACCGTCTCTTCTCCACAGGTGTCCAGACTTTGGACCCCAAGGGCCGCCATGACGTCCGGCAGCTGGACATCTCATCAGAAAAGGACAGTGACCGGCATTGGCGCTTGCTGGGAGGTGCTGAGGGGCTCCCGTTGTGGTCACTGATGCTGAGGTCTTTGATCAGGCTGGTCACTGCACAGGCAGTCACAGCCTCCTGATGCCACAGTGTGCCGTCCTGACACTTTTCAGGCAGGCATTCCCAGATGCTGGCGCTCGGCTGGTCAACCTGAAGAGGGCACTTCCTGTCCAGGTCTCGCCATCTGTCATTTTCTGGTGCATAAATGACAAAGAAAAAACAGGATTTGAGAGGCCTTCACACCAGCTCTCTCTTCCTATACACCAACAGCCTATTTTCCACATGGGAGTCAGAAGGCCCTTAAAAAAACCTCCAGTTCAACCTCATTTCTCAGATGAGAAACTGAGGCTGAGACAGTGGAAGCGAGTGTCAGCATGCTGGGCTAGAAGCAGAGTGTGGCCTAGGATTCAGACACAGCCGGCGTTTCTGAGAGGCCTTTTTCCCACCATACTGCACTGTCTCTCGGGAAAATGCAAGCTGTTTTTCACTCCAAGTTCTTTCTCTTCTTACAAGCAGGAAATGTCTTGCTCTGTACCCTGCCCTGGCTGGGGGTAGACTCAGGGCAATGTATCTACTAAGTCCCTATTCAGTTCTCTATTGCTCTTAGGACAGGACTGGATGCCCTGGCAGAAGACCATGACCAAAGTCAAAACTTCCGGCACTTCAGATGGTCAACATTAAAAGGGGGTTGGGGTGCTGCTAGGTTAGTTCATCCGAATTGTATCTTTAAAGCCCTTGCTAAAAACAGAAACTGAATTTATTACTGATTTATGTCCCCTCCATCAAAATGCTCAACAACATCAACAACAGCTACCAATCACAGCATGTTCTGTGTGCACAGCGTGTTCTGTGTGTTTACTTGATTCGTTCCTGAAACTGAGGATATTTAAAGCAATTAAAATCTGTAAGAGCAAGTCTTGGGCTGCACAGACTTCAGGGTTCAATTTAAATTTACACATTCGGATCTCTACTTAAATGCATGAATAAATAAGCTAACCCTGCTATAAAATGCTGAATTTGCACTTGAACTTTTATTTTATTGAAATATTCAAGTTTTTCTACTATAAAATCAAGCATATGCTGGGAATTTTAGGAGATGCAAAGATAAATTTGACATAGTCCCTGTATTCAGGCTTAGAGTACAAAAGCAGAATTAAGAAAAAATTCTGCTTTTGTACTCTAAGCCTGAATACAGGGACTATGTCAAATTCCTATGCTTTCAGGAATCAACATATTAGTACTTCCTATCTTTTCTAACCTGCGTATATTTATAAATTTTGTCAATAATGAATGGCTTGAGTCAGACACACAGCACAAGGGTAGAAATAAAACCTGAAATGATGCTCAGCAGGTATTTAAATGCATTCGCTGTTTGGCAGAGGGGATCAGTCACTGAGCATCCACCCTGGGTAAGAGCCGCACTGCACCTTGTGTGCAGGGACCACCGTGGCCCAGATGGGAAGACTGAGGCTCGGGGGAGTTTGGTATCTGGCCCAGGTCTACAACTGACAAATGACATGACACAGAGCCCATGGTCTCTTCACTTCACTAGTGTGCTGAAGGGAAGCACAAGTGAGCCTGACACCAGCCCTGCCTCGGGAGCTTCAGATCAGGAAAGCTGTGCTACAGGTCTAGAAAACTGATTTAACCCACACATGACACATGCTCCAGCAGCAAGGACTATGAGCATTACTCCTTTACTCACTGCCACTTCTCAAAGAGTACCAAGAGACAGGTCCCAAACAAACATCACAATTAGCAGCTACCATGCTGGTTTCAAGGGGGATGAACAATGCAACCCAAGGGCAAGTCCAGGAGCCACAGGAAAAGCTACATCAGGGCTAAGTGCGATGCTTCTTCCTTTCAGGCACCTGCCACATTACAGACACAAGCCTGAGGAGCTGGGACCCTAGACAGGGGACACAAGGAGAAACCTATCCATGAAGGATCTCAGATGGTGAAAACACAGGAAAGAAATCTTCTGTAAGCCAGGTGAGAACAAAGCAGAACTGTGGCTAAACATCCAATTCACTCATCCCAGTATCTTCCCAGATCTTGACCATAGCAAGTGCAATACCTGTTTCTTCAGCTGCATTTGATAAATAACTTCCAAACACAAACATTACAAGTAAACATCTTTTTATTCAAATGTATCTTCGCTCTTCATGAAATGCATTCCCCTGGAATATTCACCAGTCTTTTAAAAGTTTCAATTTGACATTAGTCAGCAGGTCAAAGTTAATTAAAATAATAAAGTAAAATTAGAAGAAATATAAACTAACATGGGCTAAGTCTTGACCATATGTTAAGAAGGAAAAAAGTTGTTCTAAGAAAAAGGGGAGACCTATGTGTGGTAATGTTCATCAGAATGACTTGGTGACAGAAAAATGATAAATATAATTAAAAGTCCTACTGTAGAGGGCTGGTTAAGTGAATTGTCAAGGAATAACACAGAGTGTGAAAAGCAGTTTCAAGGCTATTTAAGGGCATGGGGAAATGCTAGCAGTGTGATGCTAAGAGGCAGCAGGACATAAGCTGGGCACAATGGCGCACACCTGTAGTCCCAGCTACCATGGGGCTGAGGCAGGAGGATCACAAGTTTGAGGACAGCCTTGGCAACTTTGTGAGACTCTGTCTCAAAATAAAAAAGGGCTGGGGGTGTAGCTCAGTGGAAGAGAACTTGCCAAATTGTGCAAGGCTAAATTCAATCCCCAGTAAAACACAGACAGACAGACACACACACACACAAGCAGAATATAAGACTGTTTGATTTCTCTTTAGTAAAATATGTACTATGTTATACATGAAGAAGAAAATAAACCAAAATGTTAATAGTTGATGGGTCAATGTTTGCTTGATTGATATTTTATTATTTTTGTTTTTCTACAATTTTCAAATCTTCTGAGAACTGTGTTAGCCAGTATGTGAAAGCTCTTACCATTAAGTCCACTGGTGCTGAGTTCTGACTTAATTCAGGAAGTGAAGCACGGCCAGCACCAGAGCCAGGGCCAGGGCCTAACCCTTGTCCTCCTCTGCATTTGTTCCTTTGGGTTTACAGAAGTTGCTGGCCACCAACTTCTCTTTGGGGGCAAGGTACTATGGTGCCACATGGGCCAGGAACATGGTGGATTGAGAAAGGAACCACTGGGCCCAGCCACAGCACAGTGAGGGCCTCAAGACGGTTACATGGGCCGGTACTTAGGCGCCTATGGCACCTGCCAGATTGTGTCTTGACCAGACCTCAAAAAACCCATGAAATGAGAAGAGACTGATCCCATCCTCTGAGGATGACACTTTCTATTCCATTTTTGTTACACTGGCCTGGAATTTTCCCCATCTTAAGGGAAATCACGAGAAGGGAGGAGTTGGGAGACACATAAATGTGAACCTGGCACTTCTCTCAACTGGCAGTGCATTCCCTCCCATGGCTGCCTTGTGATGGTGGCACTTTTTAACTGGATCCCTCAGGGACTCCCAACTACAGTTCCACTTCCTCACTGGCTCTAGAGAATTTCCTGCGGCCTCCACCTCTGTGGTCTGGCCTCTTGGCAATTGTCCATTGTTGCCTCTTGGGATGCAGACATTTCAGCCTGGCATGCAGGCCTGACCACTATTTCCCCAGCACACCCTTCACCCCAGACACCAAACTTCTTATGACACTGGAGGTCAGACCAGAATCATGTAGAGTCAAAATGACCCGTGAAAGTTCCCAATCAGCCCTCAAATCATACCTCTCCTGGTTTAGGATAAATAACCCTGGAGAGTGACCCTTACACGCCAGCAATTCGCTATGAAACTAAAAGGTTTCACAACTGAGACTGCAGGAATGAACATAGGTGAATCTGAACGCAGAGGCTGCGAGTCCAATCGACAGGGACTTGAGGCTGACAACAAGCCCCCAGTGGGTCTTGGGGTTGAATGGTGAACTCTACTGCATCCTGCTTGCAAACAGTAACTGATATGACCTAAATATGTAAGAGTTCTTCGTTGTAGGGAAGAATCACGTAGAGTCAGTTCTCATCTCAGTCCACTGGTTCTGTGGGAGCACAATGTGACCATGGTCACAGTCTTCCCCCAGACTTCAGCTCTTTAATGCCTTCATACTTTCAAAACAGCTTGGAATGTTCTTCTGACTTTATCTTCCTTCCACTAAGAGAACCTCTGATTCTTCAATTTAAGAATCAAAACCTCCTCCTCCACATGACCAAAGAACCAAAACCTCCTCCTCCACATGACCCCCTGTGCAACCACAGCAATTTGCCTAGATTTCCAATTATATGTCGCATGAGCTTTAATCATCTGCTTACATGTCTACCACTCTCCACCAGCTCCAGAGCACAGCCCAGCATGGCTCCCAGCGCACAGCACTGAGTGGGGCCCACAGCATGGTGAGGGGAGTGATGGAAGGAATGGGTGACAAAATCCAAAGGAGGCTACAGGGGTTCACTGGGTCTTGCTTATCATTTTTCCTTGACACAAGTGACCCTTCCTTGGCCAGGCAGGTCCAACCTGGGCCTGCTGAACTCTGCCCTGAATCTGGGCCACAGATGGCTACATGTGAAGCAGCCAGGAGACTGGTTAGTGGAGTTATATCTAAAATACTTTGAAAATGCAAAGAACTGCTACTGTGTATCAACACCAGCCGGGTGGCCACTTGTCCTGTCTGCAGTGTAGATAATATTGTAATTGTCTCTATCTTTATCACCTTGAGAAGTACAATATGAGAAAGTAGAAACAATCAATGCTATGTTTAGCCCTGTGTTGCCCCCCTTCACTCAGGGAACAGAAAGCAATTTGTTGGGTCAGGTCATCAGACAAAAGAAACAGGAACAGAAGCAAATATTTAATGGCACGCTACCCCCCACTAGTCCCCAATATCACACTTCGCAAGGGAAAAGGGCTTCGGTAGGGCTCTGAGAAGACCCATGAGGTGCCCGGCCCCCCCACTCAATATTACTTCTACACAAACAACCCTAATTCTTTAAAATCGACAAGTTGTGGACATGGGGAGGTCACTTTGTGTGGTGTAAAGGGGCATGGCCTTTGGTTCAAACCTCAGTGCTTCAAGCTCCTTAATCTCTCAGAACTGCTGTGTGAAGAAAATAAGGGCCCAGTACAGGTCCTGGAATAGGCTCTCAAAAACGGTGGCCATCATTACACTAATTTCAGTAAGCCAATACCAGAAAATTTGGGT